GTTATTTCTTGTCGAAAACTAGTCAAGATAAGAGCCATACCTGAACAGAGCGATCCGTAGAACCCAACAGCAAAGCCGCTTGCAGATACATCCTTCTTGACCTCAGGTGGGAGTGAGTCGCCGGGGAAAGGCCCTGTGTCACTGGTCAATACAAACATCATCAAAATGGTCATGAACAAGTAGGAACAAACCATGCGGCGGGGAATTGTCATTAAGTATGAAAGTTAAATCATAGATCTTGTTTGTTTCTTTGTTCACGGTAGCAATCACCTCGACGATGTCTCCGTAAGCTGCCAGACATAATTCGGTTAGTTCAATTTAAAAACGAGGTACGTAACTAACGTATATCGACAACGTATTTTGTTCCAGATTGTTCTCCGTTCTCAACGACCCTATCAAGTCCGGAGGGGCCGAGCTGGTAGGTAACTGAGATTCCATTGATCCCATTCGCGCCAGGGCCAGTCGGAGTCCAGACAACGACCTTGGAGATCCTTGGAAAATTCGGAGTGTTGCCAGGCCAGAGGCTACCTACAAGTTAAATAAACACAAGCCCAGGGGGTGTAAAACTACGGAGTACGACTTGGACATACCTGACTTAACGTCATCAAAGACGCCTTTGTCAGTAGGAATACCAAAGGCCTTATAGACAATGAGCCTAGGTTCAGGTTTGTTTGACATATCGAGGAGTAGTTTAGTACTATGAAGCTGGTGAGGGAAGAATGTCTGACCAGAACAAGCTGAGTGGCCTTTTATGTGAATTCATGGTCACTGTGGAGCAGCCGAGCTGTGGCACATTCAAGCCTCATGAGTTGTAGTATGTCAGCATGGTTATATTGAGCAATCTGAATGAAGTGAATACCCCAAGTCTAGAAGGTCTGGTTTGGAGTTTGAGTGACAACATTGACAGGTTGCAAAGCTTGATCAGAGAGGTATGGGAAATCGGAAGCTCAAGCTAATATTACAACCGGAGGAGCGAGACACCTGAGGTAAGTAAGTGCATACAGCCTAACATAATAACATTGGGTGTCAATGATACCTTTCAAAATGTAGCCCTATTTGGTTTAAGTTCTAGCTTGATAGATTGACAGATGAGTTGTGCTAAAAGTAGCGGTGGATTAGAAAGAATACGTCCATGGCCTGGTAGATTAGCCAAGGGCCAATCCTCGTGTTTAGCTTTTAGATCCTGGGTTCCAGGCTTACAGCATTGTCCTCAATCAAGGCCACGAAAAACTTCGACGATTGAGCTCCACTCAGTCTTAGCGGATGTGCAAAATGCCAAGAAGAACTTCTCCTGTGAAGGGTGGAGACCCTGGAATTTGCTGCTGTACCTGCCGTACTTGTATATGAACTTTCCAGTGAAATTGAGAGTAATGAACCCTTTGTTTTCCTTCTATGTGTTTGGCAGTAGCCACCTGAACAATGGAGTTTTTCAAAGCCCAAGTTCGGAGTAAGTTAATGGTAAGTTCTAGTCGAGTTCTAACTTGAATTCAGCCTGGTTCCTCAGTCTTATAGCCTGCGAGACGAACGAACTTGTAGACGATCCGCAGAATCAGTTAAGGTAGTCAAGACAGTAATAACTCAACATTCGCCGCCCAACATTCACTTCCGAAGACGACCAAATAATTCACACGTGTGTAAACTAGGCGACCATGATCCGAGTCTGATCTTGGGATAACACTTCTGTTATTTTACGCCACAGAATAGTACATAGAAGCCTTGCCAATGATAATTCTGCATATCCATGTAACAAAGGTATATAGCAATTTAATAGTGTCCGGTATCTTGAGATGCACGCCCGGGGCTCCAGAGAGGTTGTTAACAAAGCCGTACCCTTTGCCATTGATGAAATTGTTGGAGCCGAGTCCCTTGTGGTGGGATTCGGCAAGAGACTGCAGGAGTTTCTTACGACTGGCAGGAAGCACGAGGTTATCAAAGGCGTCAAACTCAACTAAGGAGGGGTGTAAACATGCTGCGGCCGTTGCGAAAGCAAGTTGGCGACTTACGCCAGATTTTATCAGAAAGCCTGAATCTAAATAGAACGGAGAGCGTGAGGATCAGATCATAGTCTATGAAAATCAAGGCTCACCGTTTCAGAAGAGTTGGATCCTACTAAGGTTCCATTGCGTCTTAACGTGCGGATAATGCTTGAAAAGCTAAGGAAAGTGTCCATTCGCACAGGCACCTGGAGTGGAAGCCAATTCTAGTACAGACAAAGCGTTGTAATCCATTGTATCCATCCTCGCACGCGAGTGCAATTCAATTTGAGTCGGAGTCGGCGCCATCAAAGGTACTTATTGAGCCTAGGATAGATAGCTTTGGGGTCATGGACACTGATGATCAGCAAACAAAGGTGAAAGAGAAATACCTTGGTCGATCATGATTCTCCCGTTCTTCTAGGGTCGCTGTCAGATTCCACTCTTCACGGCATTCATAGCTCTAGGAGGCAGGAGAGACATAGTATAGTCATCTCATTGAAGCCAGGTTCGAGAGCCCTTCATTGAAGTATGTGCTGTTGCATGTGGAGGGGAACTGGTTGAAAGAAAGATAGGAGTTACGTGAAAGTTTGACTATGTATAATGTATGTGCAGAGGGACAGAGATACAAAGTGCATAAAGAGAAAGGATAGATACGTTACTGGACCCTTTGATGGACCTACCGAAAATAAAAGTGGTCTCATAAGGTACATGGGTCACTGCCCCCTACCCGGATTGAACGAATGACCTTTGCATTACAGGCTTCCGAAGAAGACTACAAGTGCAACGCTCTACCACTGAGCTAAAGGGGCTGTGCATCTCCATGCAGCTTTTATCTTTCGATGTCCCGACTCAGACCGGCAATGAAGGAATACCGAAATGACTTCAAAAAAGCAGTTCCATAGGATTCCGCTGCCCCCTACCCGGATTGAACGAATGACCTTTGCATTGCTGAGTTTCTTTATTTTTGGGAAGCTTACAAGTGCAACGCTCTACCACTGAGCTAAAGGGGCTGTCGTGCTTGAACACAGGGCATCCTTATTGATTCCTAGGCCGAGGCAGGCTAGTCAGTCGGTCCATTGACCGACTGACTAAATACATGATGACTCAAAAGGTTTGAATCTCCTCATCGACAGGCTCGTAACAATTCTATCTTGCATATGCTAAATCAGTGTGCCTCAAGATTTCTGGCATATGCAGCTAGTCATGAGTCTAGCTCCTCAAATTGGGTTTGTTGTTAGTGCAAAAGGATGCCATCACCATTTCACAGCATCGGATCGGAGATCGAAACACGGGCGCTTAAATATGTACGTACCCACATCACCCATCGCTTCAATACAAATCTCTTCAACAACTTCAGAGCTCCCAGTATGACGCTTGCCAATCCGCCCTCAATAGCCGTGATTATCTCTTAATCGTCATGGCTGGGCCATTCTTTATTCCAGCTCTCTTCACTGCCCCCAGCGATATCCTCAAGTCGTTCTCCAACACCATCATCAAGCTGATCCACGGTACAGGGCTACACTTTTCTTTGGACCACTCTGCTCTCGTTTAATCAATGGGTTCGTGAGATGCTTCATCCCGAAAACCGCCTAGGTGTCGCTTTGAATTGATAATCCAGCTCTGGAATGCTGCCTGCCATCAAGTCGTGTTCCTTCATGAGCACCTCTACTTCAGCTGCAAAGTCGTGGAGTTGGGACATCAATTGTTAGGAGAATTGTCAATATAAATGAATACTCTCACCTCACTCCTCGTCACCGCTCTTACGGGTAGACGCCTTGAATCATTTGCCAAGATTGTGAAGACCCATGA